GCTCGCCTCCCCCCCGCACCGCTCCGCCGCGTCAGACGGTGAGCTGCCGCGCCCGTTTTCACTGGGGCCTGCAGCTTCTCCTGTACCCTACTTTTCCCCTTCTACGGTTTGCTTTCCCCGGGAATGAGCAAATGGAAAACCCATTTCCTTCAGCTCTTGCACACAGGCAGCATGTGGTGCCAGGAAATCCACCCTTAGCTTTGCTTCTCCTACATTTGTATATTTTAGACACCTGTTTGCTACTTTCTTCCCTTGACGATCAACAACGTTCCCAGTTTACCAACAAACAGTTACTGTTTCCCAAGCGCCACTTTCCCTGCTCTGCCCAGGCTGTAAATCCCACTCCCCAGCTTTTCCAGTAGTTCCATGCTCCCTGTCCAGCTCCCGCACCCAGAATGGAGGATTTGCATTAAGTAACTAATACCAACTTACCCATCCATTTGCGATCCCCTCCTTGCACAGAATCTTTTCAGCCAGCTCCACTTCATAATCACGATGATGCCACAGGCCAGGGCGAGGAGGATGCCATCAAAGCTCAGCAGCGGCCAGTTCTTCAGCACGGCCAGGGCAGAGCTTTTTGCGATACGATCTAGGGAGAGAAGCAGAGGTACAGCTCCGGGTAAGGGCCAGGCGATGCCACGGGCCGTCTGCTCAGCTGCGAGCCTGACGAGGCCGTTTGCGGGGCCATGGGAGCTGCTGTTGCACCCAGTAAAACCACGGGGCACCCAGAGCCTGGCTGCGGCACTCACCGGGGCCCAGCACGCTGTCGATGCTGCTGCCTACAGAGGATCCTTGAGTCTTGCACTGGGGGGGGTTCCAGCCCGGATCGCAGTGGCAGTTCTTCTTGTTATTGCACACCTGCCAGCACCAGGGTGGGAACACTCCTCATTGTAAAACCCCCTCCTGAGGTGCTCCACCTCCACCGGGATCGCTGCTTTCCCACCCGCCCCTGCTCTCCTCCGCACACGCTGCACACCCTGCTCCCGCGCTGCGGTCACAGCCAGCCTGCCAGCACCCCTCGACACCGCTGTGCCAGACCCCCGCTCGGCCTTCCCGCGTTCACACTCCGCTGTTCGCCATGCTGCCTCTCGCCCTGCACTGCTACGCTGATCGTTTCCAACGCTCTTTCAATGAATCAATCTAGTTCCTCTCTAGATACTCTTTTTCCAGTTTTCTGCTAATCTAGAGAAACAAACACTCCGAGCCCCTTTATCTCACTTACTTTTCACTTGGGACAGAAAGTAAGTTAGGTAGTCTCACTTAATTTCTCCCACAATAACTCGTGACTGCATAATGATTTCAGAGAACAAGTGTTAGCCCAAAACACAGGTCTAGGCAATTCACAGACAAGCCCCAGTGCGCATTTTACCAGAACCGCACTCTCTTCTTCAGCAGTATTTGTCAAATCAATAGCACTGACTTAACTGCATTGCTGTTACTTACTCCATGCCCGTGGCATTTTTTCTGCACCTCGCAGTCATACTTCAGGACTGAATGTGGGTGGCACGTGCCATTCATACAAACCTGAAAGACCAAAAGGAAAAAAGTCCTGCTGGGCACTTTTTCATCACCCTTTACCACGCTTGCCATAACTCTAAAAAGGATTCTTAGCCCTAAAGAATGATCAAAAGTCAATAGCACAGGTAATAATTACTAAAAATGTAAGTACAGACCACCTTTAACTCATACTGCAAAACGGCAATTATTTCTAAAACTGTTATGGTTGTGATAATTATATGCCATTTCCAGATGCTTGTGCAATATCTCTTACCTTTCCAGAACCACATTTTGTTCCTTCTTTCACCAGGAGAGGATCTAGAGCTGTGGGTCCACGCATAAAATCGAAAGACGCGCACAGATGTTCTTGCACTTGAGCATAAATTATGGCACCCTTGACTTTTGTGAAGGGAATATGATTTGGGTATGTACATACTAACTTTCCACATCCCAGATTCCTAAAAAATTCATTAGCACAATAAATTAGAACAGTACGCACAGCATCTGATTGATCACAGTGCTGGAGACATTGAGGTGCACAACTCAGGGAGGGGGATTTAGACAAAATAAAAACACAAGCACATGAAGTTTCAGAAGAGTTGAACCCTTGATACCAGAAGAGAAGCTGTCCTATGAACCGTCAGAACACTCATTAAACGCTCGCACAATTAGGTGTGTGCTGAAGTTGCCTTCGGAAGTCTCCAGTTTCTCTACAACACTGTTTCTCTAAGGAATGCCTAGAGTGAATACTGCAAGTCAGTTCTGCCCAGCAGAAGAAAAACATACCGAAGGCAACCTTCTCACGGATTATGACTTTGCATTGACAGTAAAGGGAATTAAATATATATTCCCAATTCAACACTTTGCATTCCCTTGAAACCTACGGCCAGGAACAGGGCTGATAGCCATCCTTCGGGTGGTTGCCACAGTGTCCAAACCTATCCTGCTGACTGTTGACTTCTTCATAACAAGCCAGAGGAGCATTTTTTGCACCTGGAAGTTCAGAAATAATACTGATTGCCACTGAGGGTAATACAGACTAAGGTACCTCTGTTGCCTCTAACATTTATCAGTTCTGGCCTCTGACAGAAGAGTACTTGGCTACGGCTCCAGTCCCGTTGCTAGCCGCCTCTGGGTTGTGGGACAGATCTCACAGACAGTGGAATGGCCTGACCAGCCCAAAACACCTTCCACAACAGCATCAGGATATGTTTCTGGCTTGTTCTCCTCTCGGAGAGGCAGTGAGGTGTGCGTGACTGGCTGTGCCAGCCTGACATCCCCATGGAAACTGTCACCCTCTTCTGATGGCCCATTCCCTTCCCCTCTCCGCAAGCATGGGAGACCCGTCCTGCGGTCGGTCTCCTCTGCCCTCCCCTACACTGCATACTCCCGGCGGTCCCCAGCTTCCACAATTTCACACAAGACAGAGGGTGGGCATCCATCGTGCGTGGGCGCCGCCTTCTGCCCTAGACCAGCCCTGGAGCTCGACGTTAGTACTCGTGATGACAGGGCAGCCCCTTACCTTCCCCATAGAGCGCCTGGCACTGCAGGTCCGGAGACTGGCAGCGTCCCTTGTAGCAGTAGCCGGTGCCGTGCTCACAGCCGTGCCCGTCCTGCACGTACAGGTCGGGGGGGCAGGACGCGGAGGACCCGTTGCAGAACTCGGCCAGGTCACACTGCGCGTCGGCGGCGGGGCGGCACTGCGAGTTTTTCTGCTTGAACTGGCAGAGGAGGCAGAAAGGACTCTTCCCTCCGTCCTTCCACACCCACCGGCGTGGTCCCCTCTCAGGCCCCACACAGACCCTCCCGACGCCGCCCTGAGACACATCCCCGGTCCCTCGGGACCACCCCCGAGGCACTCGGCTCACCACCCGCAGCTTACACTGCCCGGGACAGTCTCCCCCAGTCCTATTTGGGGAGCTGAGCTGGAAAGCCCTTCCCCGGGAACCTCTCCAATTGCACAGCGGGAAGTTTGTCTCCATCCTTCAGCACGGGAACATACTATTTCTCCAAAAATAAATAACCATCTTGTGATAATTATAAAAACGTGCCTTACCTGACATTCATTACAACATAATCCAGAGGAGACAAAATGCAGCACAAATATCATTAAGTCTTTTTGGAGATGCCCGTCTAAGCAAAACCAGCAAGCTGGTTGACAGTGCTGCTGTAGAAACTGCTACTGCCCCAAAGTTTAAAAACGGCCTTAACTTCTGATAATTATGAACACACCTTACCTGGCAATTTTCACAACATAATCCCAAGGAGCACTTCATTCCTGGTTTGAAGTTACACTGGGGAGTACAACATTTGTCTAACGCACAGGCCTGCAAACACACCAGAAATCATTAGTTGCTGCGAATTTCCCCATCTGCAGGATGACTGCTTGCCCTGAGCCCCATCCTTCTAACCAACAGCGTACCTCGGAGGAGCCGAGGGAAGAGCAGCAACGCTGCACTTCTGCGTGTTCCCGCAGAAATGCTTTATACACCACCTGAGACCACTTCCAGCTGAAGGACCAGAAAAAAGCACAGCCGTCCGCCGGAGCGGGGCACCCACCTCCGCCGCCCCGCAGTCACACTGCTCGCCGGGCTCCACGATGCCGTTGCCGCAGCTGGCCGTGCGGTAGGAAGGCTGACGCAGAGTGAGCCTGATGAAAGGGCAGTCCCTGTTCTGCTTCAGGAAGGTTTCAAAGTCCCTGATGCTGCAGCTGCTAAAGGCTTTTGCCCCACTGAAATGTCTAAAATAAAGCAATTATCCATTGTCTTAACGCACTACTGTTCACTCTCTCAAAATCTCTGTGCAATTCAAGGACTTGCTCAGATGCTGGCACGAGGCGCAATGGTCCCCTGGGTGTCTTTCAGTTCACTTGACAAACCTGATTTTACAACTCGTTGTTAACAGAGATTGAGAAGCATTAAGAAGTATCTTGCTTTTAAAAAGAAAAGTGTCCATTTCTCAAGTCAAATCACTACTTTATATTTATTGTTCCTATAGTAAAAACAACTCAATTTTTTTCTCACAATGTTTCAAGTTCCTTTTAGGATATCACTCTAGACATGCTATTTTAAAGTATATTCAACATGCAATCACTTTGTAAAACTTGATTCAAATCATGTATGACTAATAACACAAGCAGAAGTGCCGGAAGAGCATGCTCTTCTGTTTAAAGCAAATACAACTATTACTTCTCAAAAATATTCACTAACACAAACATTGCATTTTTTATGGCTGAGATAATAAAATGGAAGGCCAAAATATCTCAGGATTTCTAGTAACTAAAACATATTTTTACTTTAACTCCTCTTTTCTCATTGGCTATTCTTTTCTAGTACTAACAAAATCAAATCTGAACTGCAATTTTTTTTCCTTGAAAAATATTAGATTGACTGTTCTCTTAATGTAGGTATCTATACATATATACCATTATATATAAATATACGTATACCTATGCACATGCAGACACACACACATATATATAAATACAGCTCCTCATGCTTCGGAGGGAATGTTTCCCCCCGTAAGCAGACTTGGCTCGACTGCACTGACCACTTGCCCCTACCCTCTCAAAGACCAAAAGCGTTTGAGGTACACAGCTACCGTGCGGTCAGTTCGCAGGCAACACTTGCTTACAAAATGAACCTTTATCGCATTTACAGTAACAAGAAATTAATTCAGATTTCCAGACGTTCAATTTCTAAATATTAAAACTCAAAAAAGGAATGGATCGCGCCTAGCCTAAGTAAAACGTGCCCAAGACACCTCTGATGAGAGGACACCCCGTGATCATCCCCACCACG